AAAAGGCCTCCACTCAGCTTATTTGTAACGAGACGTAGGGAAACATCTCGTTACGCTGATTTTCAGTGAAGCCAACAATTTACAGTTAAACAAAAATAAAGTGGCTTCGACCATGTAAAAAGAAAAATAGAGAATTTAATTGAAATATGAAAATTCAATTTAAAAAAGGAGAAACTGCGAGTACGTGTAGAGTCTGTGTGAGCGTGTATTGTGTGATCACTGAGTTACCATGTATGTGTGGTTGTGATATAAAGAAACTCGTTTATAAATAATAAAAGACAATTACAAACATATTTCTTTTGCAATATTTATTTACAAAAATACAAAAAGTATACAAATTTTTTTAACAGCATTTAGTCAGTAATTTATTGATTGTCCGTCGAGTGGTTTCGTTTAAACAGCCGGTTTAATTTTGTAAGTATTTCTCAGTTCGTCATCAACCTTGTCCCAAGGCAGGAAGATCTTCAAACCTTCCACATGCGCCGTGGCTTGCACATGTTCTCGTGCACAATTAGCGTTACAAATGAAATCACACAAGCCTGTGTTAGCATTGAAATGAAGACCTTCCGAGCAAGTGACTAGAACAGCTTCTCCGCCTTCGCATCTCCAGAGCTTATCGCAATCGGATTCGTGAGCCCATGGTAGACGGTTACATTCATCAGCGCAGGGGTTGCGATCATCGCCACCTTCCCCGCTGTCGCCACCTTCTCCACTGTCGCCGCCTTCACCGCTGTCGCTACTTTCTCCGCTTTCGCTACTTTCTCCACTGTCGCCGCCTTCTCCACTGTCGCCGCCTTCACCGCTGTTACCATTATTGCAGTCCACGTTTTCAGGCCAGTCGCAGACCTGTAAAATGATTTTTGAATTGTTAAACAGCGCAATTTTGGTATAAGCATTGAAGCCCTTCAAATTTTGTTTCGTAAGCCGATATTAATGGCCGTAACGTCGTCATCACCTGATACCGTGCTCCCATTACGGTAGGTACATGCCTGCCTTCCACTTGCTACGACCCCGACACACAATTCTCACTTTATCAATGCTTTTATACGAATTAGTCGGTAAGAGTATTTTTGAACTAGTGTTTCTTTTTGATGGCCGAATGGCTATTACTACATTAAAGTACATGAGTTAAATAGATATAAACAGTTGATAATCAATCTCAAACTAGGGAATTCCGTATACTATGAATACCAAAGCAATGGTAATCATTCCGTGATGCTTTCTGAAATTGGTTCTACCGATTTAAATTTTGTTGATTGATGTAAATATGAAAATGAATATATAAATGACCTGATATACATACGTCGGAACCAGTTATTACTTTAAACGTGACGTAGCAGAATTCGATTTATCGTTTACGTAATGTTATGGCATCGTTATATTCTTTTTGAAAGATACTTACGGGTCCAGGATTAGCATTGGGGTTGAAATAAGTACCAGGAGGGCACTCTCTCTCAACTTTTTCTCCGAAGACACAGTAGTAGAACTTGTTGCAATCACTTTCGTGAGGCAGCAGCCAATGAACATTGAAATCAGCGGGGCAACCGTTCTCCAACCAACCACCATCGCCGCCATCATCGCCGCCATCATCGCCGCTTCCATCGCCGCTTTCATCGCCGCTTCCATCGTCGCTTTGTTCGCCGGATCCATCGCCGCTTTCTTCGCTGCTTTCATCGGCGCCATCATCGCCGCCACCTCCATTATTGCAATCTACGTTTTCAGGCCAGTCGCAAACCTGCAAAATATATTTTTGATAATAAGCATTACTTAAATTAAATGATGTATTTGTTCTTTGGTGTTAATTTTAATATTTTTTTACTGGATATATTTTTTATAGAATTTCCCTCAGTGAATACAAATTGTACTAATTTTCATTACTATTTTAAAGTACACAAGATAAATTTAAATAAATAGTCGATAGTCAGCCTCAAATTAGGGAATTCCGTATACCATGATTACCAAAGCAATAGACATCATTCTGATATGATTTCTAGAACACCCAAACTAGTCTTAGAAATGGTATTTTCCGAAATTGGTCCTACCGATGTAAATATTGTAGATTGATGTAAACATGAAAATGAATATATACATATAAATGACCTGAATATACACATATGTCGGAACCAGTTATCACTTTAAACGTGACGTAACAGAATTCGATTTATCGTTTATGTCATGTTATGGCATCGTTATATTCATTTTTAAAGATACTTACGGGTCCAGGATTAGCATTGGGGTTGAAATAAGTTCCAGGAGCACACTCTCTCTCAACCTTTTCTCCGAAAACACAATAGTAGAACTTGTTACATTCACTCTCATGAGGAAGCAACCAATGAACTTCGAAATCAGCGGGGCAACCGTTCTCCAACCAACCACCATCATCACCACCGTCATCACCGCCATCATCACTGCCGTCGTCACCGCCGTCATCACCACCATCATCGCCACCATCGTCACCGCCATCGTCACCGCCGTCATCACCGCCACCATCACCGCCATCATCGCCACCGTCATCACCACCATCGCCTCCATTATTGCAGTCTACGTTTTCGGGCCAGTCGCAAACCTGTTAAAATATTTTTGATAATAAGGTTTCTTAGAATAAATGATGTATTTGTTCGGTGATGTAGTTGTACGGTGGTGTTCATTTTAATAATTTTTTAGATATATTTTCTATAGTATTTTTCAAGGTGTATACAAATTGTACTAGATTGTTATTACTACATTAAAGTACACAAGTAAAATAGATATAAATAGTTGATAGTCAGTCTCAAATTAGGGAATTCCGTATACTATTAGTGTTAAAGCAATGGAAAACATTCCGTGGTGCTTTCTGACATTAGTCCTACCGATGTAAATATTGTAGATTGATAGTAACATGAAACTGAATGTATAAACGCCCTGAATACATACATATGTTGAAGCCAGTTGTCACTTTAAACGTAATGTAACAGACTTCGATTTATCGTTTACGTTATGGCATTGTTATTATCTTTTTGAAAGATACTTACGGGTCCAGGATTAGCATTGGGGTTGAAATAAGTTCCAGGAGCACACTCTCTCTCAACCTTTTCTCCGAAGACACAATAGTAGAACTTGTTACATTCACTTTCATGAGGCAGCAACCAATGAACTTCGAAATCAGCGGGGCACCCGTTCTCCAACCAACCACCATCATCACCGCCATCGTCACCGCCATCATCGCCGCCATCATCGCCGCCATCATCGCCGCCATCATCGCCACCATCATCACCGCCATCATCGCCGCCATCGTCACCGCCGTCATCACCGCCACCATCACCGCCATCATCGCCACCGTCATCACCGCCATCACCCCCATTATTGCAATCTACGTTTTCAGGCCAGTCGCAAACCTGATAGAATATTTTTAATAATAAGTATTTTTTTAAATAAATTATGAATTTGTTCTTTGATGTTAATTTTAATATTTTTTTTACTAGACATATTTTCTACAATACTGTTCAAGGGGTATACAAATTGTACTAGATTTTTATTACTATATTAAAGTACACATGTAAAATGGATATAAATAGTTGATAGTCAGTCTCAAATTAGAGAATTCCGTATACCATGATTACCAAAGCAATAGACATCATTCCGAGATGATTTCTGGAACACCCAAACTAGTCTTAGAAATGGTTTTTTCCGAAATTGGTATTACCGATGTAAATATTTAAGATTGATGTAAATATGAAAATGAACATATAAATGACCTGAATATACACATATGTTGGAACCAGTTATCACTTTAAACGTGACGTAACAGAATTCGATTTATCGTTTACGTAATGTTATGGCATCGTTATATTCTTTTTGAAAGATACTTACGGGTCCAGGATTAGCATTGGGGTTGAAATAAGTTCCAGGAGCACACTCTCTCTCAACCTTTTCTCCGAAGACACAATAGTAGAACTTGTTACATTCACTCTCATGAGGCAGCAACCAATGAACTTCGAAATCAGCGGGGCAACCGTTCTCCAACCAACCACCATCATCACCGCCATCGTCACCGCCATCGTCACCGCCGTCATCACCGCCATCGTCACCGCCATCGTCACCACCATCATCACCGCCATCATCACCGCCATCGTCACCACCATCATCACCGCCATCGTCACCGCCATCGTCACCACCATCATCACCGCCATCATCACCACTATCACCGCCATCAACACCACTATCATCACCGCCGCCGTCTCCATTATTGCAGTCTACGTTTTCGGGCCAGTCGCAGACCTGTTAATAAACTTTTCGCATTAAATGTTTGTGAAGATAAAGAAAATGTACACAAACGTTTGTTACTTAATGCCTGACTAAATGGGTTAATAATAATAATAACTCGCATACACCCATCAGTTGGTGTCGGAACCTTATAAGCCGCTTTCCAAACGGGTCCTTTTTATATTTTATCGCGGGTGCCAAGAACATACACATAGACAACCACAAATTACATCCAAACTCACGAGAGAAATAAATGTAGGCCTTACAATTATTTCTCCGGGCACGGGAATCGAACCCGGGATCTCTGCGCGGCAGTTCGGCATGACAACCGTCCCGCTACTAAGGCAGTTAAAATGATGGAGAACTTTTCTCTCAACACGTTCCTTGCTGATGCTTTTACACCATATTATATATTAAAATATAGTGATAAAATTAAGGGGAAGATAGAAGGGAAAACAAAAATAGGAAGTCCAAGAATGGCGTATTGTGAATAAATAAAGAAGAAGACCAAAGTGAGAAGAAGTTCAGTGAAGTGAAAGAAGGAGCAGGCTATGAACCACACAGACAAGATTCTGGCTCTTAAATAGGTTTCTAATTATAATACCTGTTCCAATAATAAACAAATAGAATAATAACCGCTCACGCGATACATGCAGTCGTAGACGCATACCACACTTAGAGGTGCCGGTGATGATTTTATACCGATTTATCGGATATCAAAGTTATAACAGGTAAAAGAACTAATATTAATTGCTGTTTCGGTAACTACTCTAGCTAACCATAAAGTTTTTAATGTCTGGATCTGTCATTTAAAAAAAATAAACAACTTCAAAAATACGTCACGACAATCGTGTGTGTTATTGTTTGGGCTGGTGATTTCGGTGTTTATTTATTGAAAACATACCGTAACTAACAGTTTTTAAGTTTACCCTGAATATAAATGTTTATAAACTATACATTAAGGAGTAATTTCATGGTAAACGTTAGAACAACTCAAACGGAATATTATCATATTTACCCAAGTACACCAAAAATTTCATTAGTGCTTTTTAAATGCAGGATTTGCGGTGTATTACTGCATTTTATTTGAGATGTTTTTGTTGTAGTACGGAGGGTATTTATTTAGCAATGCAGAATAATAATTTTTATTTATAAAAACTTGTATTTAAACTGAATCCTTTTCTAATTTGCGAAACCAAATAGCCGCCATTTTGCGGTAGGATGAGCGCATCGCGTGAGCGGATAAGAATATTTTTTAAGATTTACATCAATATGCGTTAGTATAATAATGATCATATATTACGAGCTGTGTCAGCATTAAAGATTACATATTACAAATTCTCAAATATGAGGAAATGACAATTTTTCCTTCACTTCTCATATCTAGCTTACGACTCATGACTCATGACTCATGACTTGTCCACTAGCTGAATATTGCACTGTCATTTATATCTTGGGCATTTTCAAGACGAGAGTAAATAGTCATTATTTATGTGCGCATGCTCCACAGTCGACTTCAACGTCATCAAACACGCACTTATTTTTTTAATAAAAAATGAACATGTCGCAAAAATAATGACAACAAAGCGTGCGTCTCGGAGAAAGGTCACACAACTTTTGGAAATCTGTGAACTCAAGTTCGACCATTGTGGTGAACTATGCCCTAAACTATGTCCTTAGATAATTCGGTAGCGCCATTAACGTCCGTGTAGTTGATAACGACAATATCTTTATTAGTGTTTTTATCGCAAACAATATAATTTGCATTTACGATGAAAAAGAACAGAAGAAAGAACAATCCGCAATCAATTAAGCTGGTGAAATCAAGAACCAATAAATTATTATCTATGCATGTAATCGTTGGATGTTTGTATGATAACATGATAACATTGTGACTAAATTATATTTGGTACCATGGGGGGTTGTCAGCAACAAAAATACCTAAACTATTTGAATATTTATTCTTACCTCCCTCTTTCCCGCCCAGAAACCATACATGGGGGATTGGATCCTTATATTGTTGCTTTAAATGTCGTGTTAAAGAACACTTCCTCAACCGTCAAGTTTCATTATTAGAATAGGTATTATAATCAGCATCCTATTTAAGAGCCAGGCTCTTGTCGGTGTAGCCTCCACCACTCTCCTCCTTGACCGCTTTACAGCATCTCACTTTGGTCATCTTTTTTATTTATTCACAATACGCCATTCTTGAACTTCCTATTTTTGTTTTCCCTTCTATCTTCCCCTTAATTTTATCACTATATTATAATATAATAATATGGTGTAAAAGCATCGGTAAGGAATGTGCTGAGAGAAAAGTTTGCCATCATTTTAACTGCCTCCGTGGCCGGACGGTTGCCACGCCGAACTGCCATGCAGAGGCCCCGGGTTTGATTCCCGTGCCGAGATAAATATTAATATGGCCTACATTTAATCTCTCATGAGTTTGGTTGTAGTTAGTGGTTGTCTACGTGTATGTCCATGGCACCCGCGATACAGGGCTTCCCTAGTGCGAAATCTACTCTGTTTTGAGGCCCTATAGAAGTGATTAAAGGCAATAAGAGTAAATACTCACGGGTCCAGGATTGGCGTTGGGGTTGAAATAAGTACCAGGTGCACAGGTCCTTTCCACCTTGTTTCCGAAAACGCAGTAGTAGAACTTGTTGCAGTAAGTTTCATGCGGCAAAAGATGATGGACATCGAAATCAGACGGGCATCCGTTATCAAGCCATGGTCCTGTGTAGTCGTCGTCTTCGTCAGTGTCGCTTGTTTCATCGGATTCTTCGCTTTCAATTCCTTTGCCATCACAGTCGACGTTTTGAGGCCAATCGCAAACCTTAAAACATAATTCTAGTTAGTTTGGTTTTACTTTATTACTGTGACTGGCAACCTATTTGTCGTTCTTCGGATCTCCGACCGTGTTTGACTTGATTGTAGTTTTTGACGTAAACATTTTATATCGTCTTTAGGTGGCATCCACTCACATTGTATAACTATCGAAATTATTGCATGCATGAAAATTGACACTAGCATAGAAATTAAAATTAAATTAAAAAATAATTTATTCCTCAATCTGGTTCAACAATAGTAGATCAAGTTCTCCCATTAAGCAAATGTTTGTTTTTGTGGGAAAGCTTTGCAACTTCATAAAGCTTAAAACTGAGAATTTATAACAAATCAGTGGTAGAAATTACCTGATAAACAGATTGTGAACTTCGATCTATGATCTGAAATATTTAAGGCTAATAGCCACCATAACAAGGCTGTGGTATAAATATGCAATTGTAAAATGCGCAGAAGTGTGAAAATTGCTGCGCTTTAGTAGGGAATTTACATTCAGACTAATATACTTTTGAATGATACTCCACGCCAACACTGAATTCCATACGATCTAAATCCACTCAGGGATTAACGGAGACTCGATAATATATATCTTTGAGATATATAATTGTTTTGATGGGCCATCATTTCTGCTACCTTGGTTTTCATTTTATAATATAATGAAAAAAGCACGTAATTTGTATCTTTCTCATCGGGAATGTACATTTGAATATATAATAACTTTGGAGACACTTAGTTTAGAACACCGGATCCCAAAGATTTGGTTTAGGCAGAAATCAAAATTAGCATCGGTATAAATAAGTATGTTAGAAATAGTGCAGGAAAAGAGTAGCTTACCGAAGGGGAGAGACATTTGGGAATTTAATACGTCATAAAAGTTTTCCAAGAATCATTATAAAAGGGAAGATAGAGGTAAAGAGAGGCAGAGGAAATACAGATGAAGTTGTTTAGATCAGATGAAGGAAAACGTTGATGTCTGTATGAAGAATTTAAAGCTGGGACGATGAACAAAGACGGTTGGCGAAGACTCCACCGACAAGAATCCCGGTCTTAAATAACAAGAAGAAATTACTGATGAACTCCGGTAGACAATTTGGACACACTACATGAGTAGGTTCCTGCCTGGATATCTGGCAGAATCAATTTAAGGAATGATTCTATATATGATAATTGTATGTTTAACTATTTCATTGGAAGGTTTGATTGTGCTTATAGCAGAGAATTTCCTTTGAGACTTGGTTATTAATGTGTTTGTTGTATTACACTTATTGTATTGTGCTTAGGCATTGCAGATATAGTCATCATTCGATACGATTTATATTATCGTAAACGAGTATACGAATAACAAGTGCATAATTCGAATTTCATATTGTTATCAGGATTTTCTGATAATAGTTTATCGTCTTTATCATTATTAATTCATTACTCAGTAGCTTCTTAATCTAATTCTTCTTAATCCATCTATTTGTAAATAATTTTAATACCGTGTTTCTATGATATCTTTTGAGTGTTATCACGATTTATCGTTATTTTTTATTGCCAAAGTTCAACGGTAGTTTTTAAGTTTTTCCTGTTTCCAATTTAGATGGTGTATTACTATGATTTGGTGTAGATATAACATTTTCATTAATATTTGAAACAGCTTTACTACTAGCAGTCTTCCTCCTATCCTCCTAACCTCATCTCCATTGAATTTAATTCATTTGGGGTGCAAGAAAGGAGCCTTCCCTAATGAAGTACCATTTCTTTGCTGTATTTGCCTGGCGTACCAAGGGTCACCTTACGCCGGTTGGTTAATTCTTTCACAGCATGGCAAGCATTACAGTATATGCCATCGATACAATAAGAAGAAGAGGAATAAAAATAACTTCTTCTACTTGCATCCTCAACCAACTCGTTATTAACACGTTCATAGTCCCCCGTATAAAGTTCAAAATCAACCCCGTAAGTCCACAAGAATTTGTGTGAATAGTGTTGGTTTTGTACTCCCACATTATGTATTATATAATAACATATCCAAATTATTCTTGTTATTTTTGAATAAGTAAACGTCCTATAAAGTCAACCCAATACACAAATTCAAAAATAAACAGGACTTTGATCCTCAAGTCCAATCAAAATATTTGATATTAAAGTTGTGCTATGTAGTTGCGACTTCATAGATACGCGTCGAGTTATGTGGAAGCCAATTTGCGACTCCAGGTGGAGTTCTAGACTTCGAACGTGTGGAATGTACATGAATGGACATGAGCAAAACAGTGATTTTTTTAAAATTAGATTACTTTACCATAAAAGTAATATTATAAATGTATCTAGTAATATTATACCATCACTCGCATCACGTTAACTAAGAATGAGCTTATAAGCATCACTTCATGCTTGTTTTGCTACTTACTAATATTATCATCACTGACTTATCACTTGGGGGTCGATTCAGAACCTTACGATATCTCAGTTGCCGATCGATTTCTTTTCATTTTTATTCACAACACCCGAATCGATCGTCAAACTATCGTATTCGAAAACGAACCGAAATGACGTCACACCCGTACGATTACTCGAACTTCTCGACCGGCAAAGCCTACAAACGTTATTCAGAACATAGTTATCGATGACAGTTACTAAGTCCTATTGTTTACAAAACCAGAATGTAATATGGAAATCTCTTATTAATTTAAATAAAGTCCGGATTTTGTTCAATTTTATTAATTTATTTTAATGCAAGACCAATGCATTCTCATATTTTAGGACTTTAAAGTCTTAAAACTGTATATTAAAAGATGTTCATTTTTCTTATACCTAATCTATTTCACCGACTAATTCCGTAAACGCTGTTGGAAAACGATAACGATATTGTATCCGAATCCGAATTAAACGTTTAACTCGGAATGTTCTGAATGTCTCGGAAAACGCCCTTCGATTCGAGAACGTTATCCAATCGAACGATTCGGTTAAAATATC